AGCCTAAGCCAACAACAAGTCAGCCAGGACATCTGAGGCCACCCAGATGTGAGACCTGGAAACCCTGGTGGAAGCTCGAACGGACGGAGTCAACAGACACATTCCAGACAAAAATTTTGCAGGCCAGCACACCACAAAATAAGAAAATACACGTAACGATCAAGATTGAAGGCACTTCGTGTATTATGGAGATCGACACCAGGTTATCATTGACCATCACCTCTTGGGCAACCCCGAAGAAGGCAATCCCGAGGAAAGCCAGAAGCGTCACAGTGAGACTGGCTGGAAAAAGCAGGCTCTGCTGAGCCTTGTGGAAATCTAGCCAGACAAACCGCTGTTGGGAGGTCTTCGGACTGAAAACCTGTTCTGGAGGGACAGGGGAGAAGAAGGGACAGCTCTGATGACCTAGAGGAACTGGCAGTTTTTCGGGAAGTTGGAGAAAAACCCTTCAAACCGGCAGCGGGGGCAGTGGCCATAACTGAATGACTGCTATAAAGCTGGGGCATCTGGACTAAGTTATTGGGCAGGAGCGGTGTCTGGAGTTGAATGTTGAAACCGGGTGAGTGATTGACCAACTCACAGAAAAAAAGAAAAAGCTGATCTTAATCTTAAAAAGGATCACGAAGCGGAATTAGCAGCTAACTAAATGGCTTTCGGAGAATGTTATTGAAAAAAAGGTGGCAGAGAAGGCTAAGCATCAAAGCCTCAGAGGACTTTGTCTTCTGCAATTTGGAAGTGAAGAAAAAATTAACAACTAAAAGGAAGAACCCTGAGGGAAGTCTCTATTCTTCTTATCTTATTCAATTCTTTGTGGATTAAAAGCGTTTTTGATGGCTATTGACAGCTAGCTGTGGGATTGCATTGCTGTCTGGAGAGAGCTATTTACCAGGGAGTAGAAAATACTACACCAGCTAGTGAAAATAATAATAATAGTAATAACAGAGGGAAGTCCTTTTTTCCACCCTTATTTTAATTTTATTTTTTGTGGATTCAAACAGCTTTGAAAGAAAAGGGGGAAAAAAGTGAGAGTTGCAGCTGCAAGTGTGACCTTGGATACAGGAAGAGGCTTTGAAAACAAAAGCATTATTTTGACTATAACTATCTACAGCAGTCAAAGAGAAAGGAAACCTTAACTTGGATTGGTCTGGACTAATTTTAAAACTGAAAAACAGAATTTGGAAGACCCTAAATTTGCAATTAAATGTGGTAGAACCCAAAAATTTAAAAATCTGTTAAAATAGTTAAATAGTTAAAATAGTTAAACTTGCATAATGGAGATTTGGATACATGACAAACTATTTGTGTTGCTGAAAAATGTGCATGAAACATTAATTGGTAAAGAAAAGCCAGGAAATCAAAGGGAACATACAGAACAAGGAATGGGAGAAGAGGGGAGCACAAATGAGGTACAGGAAGATAAGGTGGGGAAAAGAAGAATTGGAAATAAAAGTCAGATAGAAGATTTCACTGGGATTTACAGTCACAAAGAAAAAGCAGGGAAAGGAGTTCTCCCAAAAAAGAAACCACAAAATAGTAAGGAAAGGAGAACAGCAAAAACCCTGGGGAAAGTTACTAGAATAATAAAAGTAAACACTCTGAAAAAAAGATACAACAATCACAAAAATAGGAAAAAGAAAAAGAAATTAGGGGAAAGGGGGTGAAGAAGGGAAAGAATTAAAATTGGACTTTTTGAGAGCCCAAGAGCAAACGGTTAAAAGAGGAAGAAAGGGAAAAAGAGTTATATTCATAGACTAAAGAGAATAGTAGTAAGATTGTTATTGTGATGTAACTAATTAAGAAATAAATAATAGTATACTGTTAATTGTAGAAAAAAAATTGAAAGAAATACTCTCTATGCTTAAATTGAATTAGAGAATGTATGCCGTTTATAGCAAAATATACCAATGGAGAAAATAAGACAGGGAAATTTGGTGTAACTTTGAAAGGGCAATGGAAGATATTGTTTATGTATTAAGAAAAAATAATGATAAAGATGAAAAATAATGGAAGAGAATAATTTTGCAGAAAGTGAAAATGAAACTATGATGTAAAAAGGACTATGTAAATAGGAGGATGTAAAAGAAAAGACCCGGACAACTCTTTGTTCCTATAATATGTATAATTTGTATTAAAAAATAAAAAACCTTGGAGAAGAAAAAAAAAGGCAATCCCGAACCTCAAGAGGAACCAGATGAAACACCAGCAACTATGGCTCAGTGATTATCAAGGAAATCACATCCCTGTCCTTGGCTGTGGTACCTTATGGGTACAGTTCAAGAATTTTGACGGGCTGCTTACACTGATGGTGGTCAGCGGTGCCCTTCCAAGCCTGCTCGGCTTGGATTGGTTCGAGTCCCTAGGCATGGGGGTAACCGGCATCAACGCCATCACTGATGACAGCACTGACAGATTAATCTGCGAGTTTGAGGATGTCTTCAGCGGAGACCTGGGGAAGTATGTGGGGACTCCTATATCCTTTAGCCTAGACCCTAAAATTGCACCAATTAAAATAAAGCCCCGGAGGGTTCCGTTCACCCTCCAGCCCAAAACTGACAAAGAATTAGACAAATTAATTGGCCAGGGAATCCTGGAGCCTGTCGACCATGCCCGGTGGGAAACACCAATAGTGACACCAGTAAAATCTGATGGATTGATCTGCATCTGTGCGGATTATAAGTGCATGCTGAACAAAGCCCTCCAACAAAGTGCATACCCTGTACCAATCGTGCAACATTTGCTTCATTCCCTTGGTCCGGGAAAAATATTTGCAAAATTAAACCTTGCACAAGTCAACCAGCAGTTGCCAGCACTGTTCCCTCTAAGGTGCGCGCGTGCGCGGCCGCGCACAT